GAAGCAATTTTCGCCGCCCATGCATGTGGAAACTCTGGCGGGTTATGTGGAAACTCTGGCGGTTTGTGCGGAAACTCTTGTGGAAACTCTGGCGGGTCATGCGGAAACTTTTGTGGAAACTCGGGCGGGTTGTGCGGAAACTCTTGTGGACACTCTGGCGGTTTGTGCGGAAACTTTTGTGGAAACTCGGGCGGGTTGTGCGGAAACTCTTGTGGAAACTCTGGCGGTTTGTGCGGAAACTCTTGTGGAAACTCTGGCGGGTTATGCGGAAACTTTTGTGGAAACTCTGGCGGGTTATGCGGAAACTCTTGTGGAAACTCTGGCGGGTTATGCGGAAACTTTTGTGGAAACTCTGGCGGGTTATGCGGAAACTCTTGTGGAAACTCTGGCGGTTTGTGCGGAAACTTTTGTGGAAACTCTGGCTTTTGTCATCTTAAAACGTGTGCATTCTAAAGTATTAAGCTTTTTTCGTTGGTTTCCACACCATTTCGGCAAATGTTTCCGCAAGAGTTTCCGCATAACCCGCCAGAGTTTCCACAAGAGTTTCCGCATAACCCACCAGAGTTTCCACAAGAGTTTCCGCATAACCCGCCAGAGTTTCCACAAAAGTTTCCGCATAACCCGCCAGAGTTTCCACAAGAGTTTCCGCATAACCCACCAGAGTTTCCGCAAGAGTTTCCGCATAACCCGCCAGAGTTTCCACAAGAGTTTCCGCATAACCCGCCAGAGTTTCCACAAGAGTTTCCGCATAAACCGCCCGAGTTTCCACAAAAGTTTCCGCACAAACCGCCAGAGTTTCCACAAGAGTTTCCGCACAAACCGCCAGAGTTTCCACAAGAGTTTCCGCACAAACCACCAGGATTTTCACAAGAGTTTCCGCATAACCCGCCCGATGTTCCACAACGTTTACACACCAGTTTCCATTCAACCCATCCGAGTTGTCCCACAGTTTCCGCATAGGCGGCCCAAGTTTCCACTGAGTTCCAACAATGGACGCATGCACAACCCTGACACGTGAACGTTAAAGCTCTGTGTAAGAATCAAGCCTCAAGCCCTCAAGCGGACTGAAACCGAGTGTTATCAACAGTCAGAGTCATGTCGTCCATCAGCCTCGGGAGTCGGAAGTCTGCCGAGCCGGCCGGAAGCAGCAATGGCAGTAGTTGGTCGACCTCGTTTTAGGGTCGAGGGCCAGGGTCAGGCAGTTGTGGAATGTATTTTGAATGCATCATGTCTTCAATAAGTGCTGTTGACTTTTCGCTTGGGGCTTAGGCTTGGGCCTTTTTGAATTTAAACGAATAAGTTTGCACATGATTGCATTCAGGCTTCTGTCGTTGAACACACTCACGAAGTGAGGGCCTGCTGCACCAGGTCTGTTTGGAGATTATGGTTTCCCAAGGCCCAGACCAACGGAGTATCTGAGTATCTCGTCATCGACCTGGGCAAGAAAAGACGTGAAATACACCCATGCGCAAACATGTACTCGACGGCTGCTGCTGAGATTTCTGTAATGCGTGCAAAAGCAGCACGGCTCTTTTTGTGTACAGTGTACAGTGTATGTGAATGCTGGATTCTGCATTTTCACAACTTTGTCTCTGGATTGTTCTCTAGCTTGAGCAGCTGTTTGAGGCAACAGATAAATATCTCGTAAAATTAGTTTTGGAACGCGGAGCAAGACAAGACACGCTGTCACTTTGGGGTCCCGACGGTGTTCCCTTCATTCACAGTCTGCCGGAGACCCAGGAGCCACCCCGAGAACCTCATCAGACAAAGGTCCGGGAGGTGGTCGTGAACGCTGTTCACGACCACCTTTGGCTACGTTCCGGCACAGCAATACCTGCAAGATCCGGCGGCAGAATTTTCCGCCGCTGGTCCTGGAGGCGTTTTTTTAAGGGTAGTTCAGAAAACAAACGCCGCCACATGTACAGTTCCGCCGGAGCCAATTGAAAACCGCCGACAACGGAGGACCCCAAAGACATGCTTAAACGTTTGGGCGGGGCATACAAAGCAGGAACCATCTCCTTCAGGGATGTATCAATAGGTGCAGCAGGCACGCATTCGGGGGGAGATAAAACATCCCTTCAGGGTTGATGTCTCGACCGGTGCCAAACAGCTAGATGACAAAGTGTTGAATACCGGGCCCCTAAGCATCTTGAAACGATACCTGGGTAGGGGTCTAGCAACTTGTTAGGATAGTTGACCCGGGGCTGTGGTGGTGTACCTATAACTTGTCCCATCACAATAGTCTCGCCGTTGGCAGGGGTGTTTGCTGTTGAAGGTTTCGAACGAAAAGCAATCGGACTTTCAAGTCAAATCACCCTGAGCATGTAGATACATGAAAAATGGCTCTCCGCGCTTTTCCGCCGTTCTCCGCGTTATTCTGCCGTATTCCGCCTTTTTCCGCCGCCGGTTTGGGAAAATTCTGCCGCCGATGTTGACAACCTTTCGGAATTCTGTACAATCGCGTCGAAAACCAGCAAATAAGAGTTAGATAGCATCTGGCAGCACACTCCGCCGTTCCTGGCTCAGCACGAGACACTACCAGCAAGATCAAGATCGATGGCTTGTTGAGCAGAGCTTTCCAGCGAATGCATGCAGCAACCCTGCAGTGCCCGTTCAAACAGCTTTGCATGCATCCTGCTGCACCCTGGGGTGGCATTCGCACCCCGCAGCCATCGGCGTGGCGCAGGTCACGTCAGTTAAGATTCGTGTCCACAGTTCAATGTTTAGGTTGCTTTTTTACGAACTAGCAGACTGTTCACCTAACAGCAAGACAGATCAGACACCGAGGCAAGAGAGCCCAAAGGACTGCAAAGCATGGCGAAGCAAATCCGCCGCCAGCAAACACATTCCGCCGCCGAGAACCCAAAAGCAGCCATCAATCCAAAAAGGAGTCTTTTGCCCTCGGGGGCATAATTTTCAGCCGCCAGGAGTTTGCAGGTATGTCTCATGGCCAGCCAACCCAAAAGACCATTGGAACATCACAGCTCATAGAGGAAATTCGCGGAAACTCGAAGCCTCCAAAACTTTAAAACCCCAACCTAAAGCCCGGGTGCCCGGCATTGCCAGCTGTTGTTGTCTACCAGCCGATGGCCTTGGAGGTGGTTCTTTAAGCGCGTTTTTTGTGGAAAAGCTCAGCATTGTATTTGTAGCTGCAGCTTTAGAGTCTATATGGTTTGGGTTTTAGGTTTTGACATTCTAAAGGTTCATTCTAAAGTTTAAAAGAGATTACGGTTTCGGATTCCAGTGTCGTGGGAGGATAAGATCAACCGACAGTCCTGAGCCGTTTCGGTAAACAAGCTTCTCAGGGTTCCTATCAATGGTTTAGATTGGACGGTGCTCTCAACACGTTTTCTAAACTTGACCTTGGGAGTCTTGTTGGGCTAGGGCATGGGCTGTGCTTTCCACGTCGCCAGCACAGTGTTTCCACAAGTTTTCCGCATGCCCAGCGCTGTTTTTCCACACTTCCACGGTCATGTTTCCACAAGTTTTCCGCGTGCCAAGCGCGGTTTTTCCACACTTCCACCGCCATGTTTCCACATGCAAGCCGGCAGGTTTTCCACATGAGCAACGCACGTTTTCCACATGAGTTGGGCTTTATTTCCGCATATAAAGAGACATTACTTCCTCATTAAAGCAATTGCTCCTATCTACAAAGCCATGCTGTTCCCTGCATTGAGGCCATAAAGTCGTGGAACTGTTATCTGATGGCTGGAAAACTCTCCACCAGATAGCTTAGCAACATGTGTCGCCATCGTTACGAAACTTTTTGGCTCGCCTCGCAAAGGTGCAGAAGATCTTGCATTCGTAATCCGGGGCTGGTCATCTCGTGGGTCGTGGGTCTTTGTGCTACGGAGCTAATAAGGCCCGATAAGAACAATGATGGCAACAGCAATGAGCAGTGACAGTGACAGTGATTACACCAAGTCACAAAGTTGTTACTGTTACACTATAACTATAACAGATAACAGTTATTACGCCGGTTGAATGATGACAACACGAACAGTTGGCAACGACGACGCCCACGACGACGACGAAGACAAGGACCAGTATGCCAACGAGACCGAAATGGGGGTTGGAGTTTTGAAGCTGTCGACTGTCGGACGAAAAATATCAGGCAATGACAGGAACCGTCAAAACCAGAATACAGTGCGGCTACACTCCTATCACACACAGTCGGGACACAACACTACGATGTGAGGTTTGGGGGTTCAAGCTTGCAGCATAAGGCTGGTGGCATCACGGCATACATACTGCTTTGGGCGGTTGAGATAGATCTAGACAGACTTACAGACACTTATTTAAACGGTTTAGACGATGTAGATTTTGAGTATAAGGTCTCGGGCCTGGGGTTTCACAGGGCTTCAATAATCCTGACCAGCCCCCGGCTCAGCTGCACCAACGCTCAGGCCGCGTAACGGACCTGGGCGAGTCGGCGAAAATGAACTTGTAGAAAGTATTCATTATTCTTTAAAGTCCGATCTCTGGAATGCACCGAATAGAATCACGTGGGATGGACATGAATTGCTGCAGCAGCGCTGGGAATGCACTTTTTCAGAGTCGCCTAGACGATGCCCAACACAAGCATTGACTCGGGTGCGGCGCTGCGATGTGGCCACACATAGCGAGTCCCAGCCTGTGAACCCAGGCCCATCTCGCCGTAGCTGCTCGCAGCTTCTGTGCTACATGCGTCACGGTATCATGCTATCTGAATCACTGATTTACAAACTGTCACTTGGAAGCCGAAGCCGAAACCACTAGAAGCGTGAGGCTAAGCAACAGCAGGATAGGTTCACTAGTTGTCTTTCACGGACACCTTCGGCGAGCCGGAGACTCACACAACCCCAAGGCCCAAGGCCGATGGCATTTGCTGCCAAGACTTAAAGTAACTTGGAAGCCTGCAACAGTAGTCGATGCATACCGTATACCCTTAGACCTTAGATCAAGCCTGGCAGCAAAAACACTTCAAAAATAGTTCAACTAAGCTAAGCTGAACTCAAACTTCACCGGGCTCGGTTGCTGCCGCTTTCGGCTGCAACTTTGTTCAACAGCAGGTCCAAGTTCTTCTCCACAGTCACGTCGCCCTTTGTCACGATCATCAGGCGAGCTCGTCGAGCGAGCTCCCCACGGTTCTCGTCTTGCTTCAGCGGCCTGCACAGGCCTTGAATGGCAGCCAACTCACACACAAGCGTGCGGCAGGAGAGGTACAGATCGCTGTCGACGGTCAAGTTTGCGGGAGCCAACGCACTCAGCGGAGTGACAGCCTTCGTATTCTCCTTCAAGCGCTCGAGGGATTTCACTTGCGCATGGAGATTCTTCGTGTCCTGGCTTTGCGCCGTCGGGAGAAGCTCCGATAAGGATGTCATGTTGTCACAGGACTGCAACTTCTCCTTGAGATTCTTCAAGCCGTCAGCCTCCATGATCTCTTTGATTTTTGCTTCGCACTCCTCCAAGCGCTTTGCGACGCACGCAATCAGCTCCGATGCAAAGCGCTTCAGGCCATCCACAGTCAATGATTCCGTCACCTGCACGACCATGATCTTCAAGCCTGTGTCTTTATCGGGCTCCTCCAACTTGCGAAGGCTGCACAGGAGCTTGTCCGCCATAGTCTGCCTTGGCAATGTCAAGACCGGGCATCACTGACTATCCATACGTATCATATGTGGCATATGTATGCGCCTGCAGTTTCAGTAGGATCATAGCATCTACAAAACAACCTTTCAATAGTCAACGAGTGTGTGCAATGCGAGGCACACTTTCAAGGCTTTCGAAGCGAAGTCCTCGTAGGTAATTTCGCGTGTGTTCACTCCTTCGAGCTCGTTCTTCAACTGGGCAATGCCTTTCACCTCGGCAACCACTTGCCACAGCCTTGGCAAGCAACACAGCAACCACAAGGGAACCGATTTGCCATCCGGGATTTCCAGCTCAGCGAGTGCAGCCACCGCCGTCGAGAGGTTGCGACCCTTGCATGCTCCAAAAGCCTTCTGGAAAGACTCAGCTTTGGCCCTTGCGGCCGCGAACTCCTCCGTCCTAAAGTCCACAGGGTCAGCAGGGCAAAGATCAACTGAGACGGATGACACCATCAAGCAGATCCGTTCAATCACTTGCTTCATCCATGGAGCTTTCATCAGAGGCTTCAGCATGGACACCAACGAAGCTTCAAACAGGAACTGCACACGGCCTTTCGCAACTTCATGGAAGCCCTCAAAGCCGGTCAGCGACTTAGTGTTCTCGGTAGGCTTCTCCAGAAGCTCCACCAGGGCTTGGAAATCTTCAGAGCCATCGACCACTGAAGCCTTTGCCAAAGTAGTCAAGTTGGCCGCAATGATTTTCGCCAGGTTGCTGAAATTTTCGAGGAATTCCCGCGGCTCTTTGAGGTCCTCGATTTCCATGACCCTGGCCAGCATCAAATCGCACGGCTCCACGATGCCCGTCACAACTTTCCCGCACGACTGCTCCGCCTCCTTGATCATCTTGGCCAAGTCATCCGCGTCGCCGTTGGATTGGGCCATCTGCATGATCTCCTTGGCCCACGTGAAGATCTGCTGCAGCTCTCCAACGGCGAGCGCCGAAGCTGATGCGCGGACGAAGCTCGCAAAGACCTGCATGTGGTTGCTGTCCCTACCTTGGACCTTGTTGTTGGCTCTACCGTTGTTCACTCAACAAAAGTTGACCCTGACTCCTGACCATAGTATAGGTCATGACCAGGAATCCCCGGGCACAACTAACCATAATTAATATCGTAATATCATTACTGCTAATGGCTAATGATTTATATAATGAGTGTAATGGCTACAAGAGACTCTTTTTCAAGCTATGTCATAGAGTCAGCACTATAGAGTCATAGATGTCACAGACTGTAGACTACTAGACTCTAGATATAGTGATACAAGCGACATAATGCATAACGGAATGACACCTATTTAATATCGGGTAACGGGTAAATAATACTGAACAGTTTCTACCATGATGATCCTGACTCGCAAACTCGGCTTCCTCATCAACTCGCCAGCCCCAACAACTTTTTATGGCACCCAGTTCGAGATGACGGACTTGGCCCTTGGCTCATCATCAAAAGGATCAAACAACCAAACGGTCCAAATCGCTACAAACCTAAACCACCCGATGTTACCAAAACCCTGGCCCAAAGACCTGACTTGGATTGGTCCTAAACCAACTAGCTAGTAACTAGCCCCCTCAAAGCAAATCCCAAGATACCTACTAGCCTGCCGAATCCTAGCACCCATGGCTTGGGTTCCTCCAGATCGAAAATCACTGCTGCCCCTCAGACACCCCTACAAATCCTGACCAGTTTAGCCGTCTGATCAGCGATGAGGCCTGGTGGTTGAGGGCCAAGGGCCGACAGTTGAGGGCCCCATGTTTTAGGGAGTGGGATTGAGTTTGCATATTCTCGGACTTTCAGCTGTATGACTTTTCTTTTAAACTTTATGCTTTATGGCTTTATGGCATAATTATTTATGGTATTATGTCAGATTATGCCTCTCTTTAGTCTTTAGTCTTTCGGACTTTCGGATGTATTGGGGGCCTAGCCTAAGGCCTTGAGCAGGGCCTAGTTTGGGATTCAGTTTAGGCTTGCTTTCCGTTCCATTACAATCGCTGTGTGGCGATGTGGCTATGTGAATATGTGACTATAGACTATGTCGCTGTGTGACTATTGTGTGTCTATAGTTAATTGATAATTGATAACCCTGACTGACTCCTGACACTTCGGTGCTCTGGCCTTGAGCTTGTCGGACACCTGCGTGAACTTGTCGTTTGAACGAACGCAGAACTCGGCACTGGCCGCGTGCCTGATTTCCGCAATCTTGTCAAAAGCGTTGCCGAGCTTCTCTGCAGTTGAGTTCATCAAGTCGACGTCGCTCTGCGTTGGAAGGACTTCCTCCGCAACACTTCGGACCACCTCGGCGAGCTGCTCCTCCAATGCAACGTCCTTGGTTCGGGCCTCGAGAGCTTCGGCGGCCAGCTTCAGGATCGTGATCCCTGTTGCGAAGTTGTTGAGACACTTGTGAAGGCGGAGATCCCGATTGGTTCGAAATTCCGCGATCCTGTTCTTGAGCTCGTCATTCGATAGCATGTTCAGGTCCATCGGCCGCAGGACCGGCATAAGCTTCTCGAGCTCAAGCTTGATGTCGCTGCCGTCGGGAAGCAACTTGGACCCAAGCACCGTGTCCAGCAAGTCTCTGACCGCCAGGACCTTGTTCTCTTCGCGCAGCAGCTCAGCCACCAATCGCATGACCTCTCGGTCCAGGAAAGCCTTCCTCGCTTCCTCATTCGTGATGAGCATTGCATTGAAGTTGCCCTCATCAGCAGTCGCGCCCAGCAACTTCTTCAAAGCCGTCACATCAGCAGCCTTTGCAGCTGCATTGATGTCGCGGCTGAGTGCAATCTCGGCAAGGTTCGCAGGCGGAACAAAGTGCGACCCTTTTGCCTTGCTGGCTTCATCCCAGATCTGGCGTCCGGTGGATGCGTCGTTGCCGAGGGCAGATACCAAGGGAGCCACTGCTTCGAGAGAGGCTTGCATCTCTCGGAGGGTTTCCAAAACCTTCATGCCTGGCGTCGGTGGGGAATTCTCCGTCGGGTTATACCCTTGGGTATAGAGGTGGACCAGCGCAGTAGATAGTCGTGCCTTCAGCTTGTCCGATAGGGCGGACAGCTGCTTGCTCTTCACCATCTGCAAGGTCTCGGTATTCTGGAGGTTTGTCAACATCTGTTGCGCCTCCAGCACGCAGCGCTCTGACGTCTGAACCTCCTTGGCCTGTTTGGCTTCGCTCTTCGAGGCGGGCTTCGGGTTGGGCTCTGGCCTAGGATCCGAGCCGCTGTCATCGCGGCCTTTGGGCTTGCCCCTGCCGCCCTTGCCGTTGCCGCCTTTGTTCTTGTTTCTGCCCTTGCCTTTGCTTCTGCGCTTGCCGCCTTTGCCGTCGGCGTCGTCGTCCTCATCCAATGGACCTGTCACTTGTGGTCTGGAATCTAGACAGTCTACAGTTAGTCAAACGAAAATGCTGAGATTTAATACTTTGTCTTCTTCTTCGTTTTGAAGCATACTCCGTGCTCGTCTATTCTCTTCGGACTCCCTCTTCCAATATCCCTCTTCCAACATAAAGTAGCGGAGTAGCGGGTAGCGTTCGGCTCCGGTCATGATAACAAAGACGGAAATGTGTTTGGCTATGGCCCGGCTAGTGACTAGCTGACTAGCGGCTAGCGGCTGGCGACTAACCGACTGACTGACTAACCCTAGGGCCCTAGGCCCTAGCCAAAATTCCTAATCCCAAACCACGACACCCTAAACTCCTAAATACAAAGGCCCCAGGCCCCAGGCTTTATCCTCCCACCCCATTTAGCCTAAACCCCTAAACTCTGGCCCTAGACCCCCAAACTCCTAAACTAAACTTCCTAAACCCTGAACTCTAAGCCTAACGCTCCAGGCTTAACGGCACTAAACCCGAAGTCCACCAAGTTTCAACAGCTCAAAATACCCTAACCCTAAATATTGAGTCTTAGGAGGGAGATCGACTCCACTGTATGAAATCCTGATGCAATCCTCGCATGTTGCGAGTATGACTTCCGAGGACCTCATTTTCGATATTACAGCACACTGTGGTTTGCCAATCGTGGCACAAGGAACTTCGAGATCCGAAATGGCCGAAAGACCGAAGTTTCACTTTTGGACCGACACCCGTTGAGCAATCCGTGCTAACCGATCCATTATATTTATCCCCAACCTGAAAGTTGCCCGACTCACCCAAGATACCTGACTACATCTCAGCACAAGAGACTCAAAGGACTCACTAAAGCTACAAACGGTCCTTCGAAGGAGAAGCTCGTGTTGCTGAAATCCAGCAGATCGTCGAAATCATCCGCCGCCTTCCGCTTCACCCCCTGCAACCCGAAGACATCGCCAGCTTCCGCGTCTTGCTTCGAACCCACCGAGAGGGCGCGGCTGTCACGAAGCCTGTTCCAGGCGCCGTCGACTTCCTGCTCGTTCAAAGCAGTATCCGAAGTAGCAGCGGTCGTCACGCTTGAAGCCGTGGATTTCTTCACGTCGAAGACTTCCGTGCATCCAGGCCCCATACCGTCGCTCTGCGGAAGCAAAACTCCTGCCGCTGCATTGTCTATCTGACCCGTGTTCAAATCTAAGACCAAAGCTAGAAACTCTTCGCAATTCAAAGCCAGTCAGAATGCTTCTTGAACAAGTGTGAACGACCGTGAACTTCTACCAAGTTTTGATCATACCATCATCTAACCATGTAATCAGGACACAGTACAGTAGTATAATACTCGATTATATTAATCTAGTCCGGCTCAACGATCACCTTACAGTCTTATGAACTACATACGAGGGAGATGTCCTGTGATCTGCTGCCCTCCTTGTTTGATGGTAGTCATCTGTTTGGCGGTGGGTTTCCGACCGAATTTGTTCTCATACGAATCAGCAGGCCACAAGACGCCCAGGCAGGTGCGGAGCTCGAGGCCACTCTCTTCGTTGAGGGCGATGGTCCGGTCCGGGATCGGAGCCTCCGGCTGGGAAGGAATGTAGGCCCCCGTCTTCCGTCGTTTCCTCAAAGATTCCAACTGCTGTGCCTCGTAAGCGTCAACCTCAGCCATGTGATTGTTATACCTGGGCCGGAGAATGGTCAAGTGAGGCTGTTTGAATCTCGTTTAATTTAGGCTTAGGAAATTTAGTTGCATCGTCTCAAAGTAAAAAATGTAACAATCAGAGTTCTCAAGATTCTCTGCCCAATAGCAACAACAGCATGCAACAGCTACCAGAAACATAAAGGTCCGCGATGAAGCAGGGGTCCGGAACCTCTTGCCTGAATGAACTAACTGGGTGCCGCCGCTCCATTTTGCCCAAGGAAAGCACAAGTTCCCAGGTAACGAAACATATTGATCAGTGTAATCAACAGCAACAGGAGCTCTAGCGCAAGGTTGCAGATTCCAATCTCCACGGTCCCACATGTTTCAAGACCTTGTGTGTGTGTGTGTGTGTGTGCGTGCGTGCGCGCGTGCATGTATCGGTGTGTGTGTGTGTGTCAGCGTATGTATGAGATCATAAGTCATAAAGTAAAATATTCAAGTTCTAGAGCACAATAAAATCCATTACAATAGAACAGAATAGAATTGAATAGCATACAATAATATACAACAAGATAAGATAGAGTCGACTAGAATAGAAGAGAAGAGAATAGACTAAAGCAGAGCAGAATATAGTACAATATAATCTAATTTAGGTTTAGTGTTTAAAATTCAGGGCTTAGGTTTGGGTTACGGTTTAGGGCCAAAGTTTAGGGCTTACGGCCTACGGCATACGGCATACGGCCTAGGGGCCCAGGGGGTTAGACTGATCTCATGCCAGTCTAGATACGCTTCCTCGTTGTCTGCAACTCTCTTGCCGTAGGCGTTCTTGGATTCGGATGACACGAGATCGGGATGAGATCGCCGGAGGGTGCCGACGCAACACAAGCATTCCGAATGCCTCTCACTTCGGAAGGCCAAGCAAGGCTTGTCAGGCTGGAACTCGAGAAACGGATTGGGGAAGGTGCGAGCTCTGCGGCAATAACGGCAACCTCTGAAGCCGGTGGAGCCCCACTTTTCTGAAGGCGGCTTCTCTGAAGGCGGCTTCTCTGAAGGAGCCCCCGGTGCCAGCTCCGAGAACCCGCCCTCCGAGGACATGTCGTAAAAAGCAGGACCCTAGAACTTTGCTGTCGCTGTCAAACGGAAATCTTAACCGGTCTGCAGTTGCAAGAATGCACTCGCCATCACAATTGCTGCCGTTCACTGCAATCAAGACTACGGATTCTGAGGCCTCGGCGGCCTCGAAAGGGTGCGAGCTGGACATCTGCCTTGGGAGCTTGCAACGACAATTGAACAAGATAAGACTGATAAGATGAAAGGATGCCATCAACAGATGATCTGCCATGGACCAATTAGCACGGGAATCTAGAGTCGCATACCCTATGCATTGCTTGCTAGATCACCCATGCTAGACCAGTTGTATGTGACTTACAGACGCAATTGTTGTAAACATTTCATTAAATCATTAGTTTACTATACTTCAACAAGTCAATGTCAATAACTATTCAGTCGACCAGTTTATTAGAATCCTTAGTCGAGTCTCAGCTCTAGCAACAAATCTCAAACCACATTCAATATACAAGTCCAGTACCAGATGCTGCTGCTGCTGCTGTATATTATAAGTCTAAGTAAAAGTATATTAGTACATCAGTATACTGTTATACTATATTGTTATATTATTACAAATTACTATTAGAGTTATAACTGTAATACTGTAATATTATATCAGCATGTTACAGCATGTTATTAGTTTTGATTAGTATACGTATCATAAAAATAACAAGTTATTAACAGAACAACTATTGACTTATTAAGTTAAAAATATGAACTTTTCATAAAACAGATTATTACAAATGTTACTGTGAATCGGAACCATACTATACCACTGCAATGTGTTACGAAAGTTCCGAAGGCTTTGATATGAACTCTACGACTACAGGTAGTCAGCCTATGTAGCCCATGTACATTATTTACATTATTATGTTATGGTCATTATGAATTATGTGCACATAACTAACACAAACACATATGGCATGTTATGTCAGCTAACTGGTGCAGGTGACATATGACATAGTTGTAGTATGGATCGCAAAGCACATCCCGCACTCATTACATCCCATCGCGAGCCGAGAGCACTGCCGCTGCCATTAAGGCCGACCATGGGGTACTCCGGGTACGCCGCTCCGCACCTGAGCGTCGGGTCCGGAGGACCACCGATAATCATTCCGAATCACCCGACGCAATCAACTCAACTTGAAACTACTCTACACACTCCTCACTTTGCTTAGCAGCCACGAGAAGTCTCCAAAGCACACAAGGCACAGGCATGCATGCTACAGGCAAGTCGAAAAACAAGGACGGTTTTCCTCTCGGCCCTGTGTGGGTGGCAACTGCATCTCGCTTGCATGTTTATCAAAACTGAAGCTCCTGCAAGGAGCTGATGGCCGGCATCAGTCGGCTCAGACCCAAACCTCCAGTAGTCAACACTACTGGGTACACTGGGTATGCAAGCACGGCTGCCAAACTGCCTGCTCTGCTAATAAGGTCAAGAAGCAGTCAAGGCAGGCCCATCAGAGATCATCCCAGGCAAACAAATCATCCATGGTGTTGCGTCGATTCGGAGCTTGACCACGCTGAGTGTTGGGTCCCATGGAAGCAAGGCGCTTGCCCTCAGCGACCCTTGTCATGATCAAACACTTTGTCTGCAGGTGGGAGTCAACGACTTTTTTGGTCAGGTACGCTGCCGCAAAGCAAAACCCGTTGAAGGCATTGCCCGCCAGGCTTTGCAAAAACTCCTGATCCTCGGTGTAGTCGAGAAGCTTCACCTGCTCCGCGCCAAAGTGGATGCCCTGCAAAAGCAAAGCCTCCAAGCCGCACATCAACCTTGCCCTCTTTGTCAAGAGAAGTTGGCTGCCTGGCAAGATGATGTCGCACGAATTGTGCGTGATGGGGCGGATGGTGGGGTTCGCACGGAGGCTTTGGCTCAGGTCGATTCCCGCATTGCGTGGGTCCGGGTAAGCAATTCGGAAAATGCGGCACATGTCGTATTGCCTCTCCGTGAGAGCCCTGAGTCCCGGGAATGCCTGCAAAACCTCCTCGCGGGGTGCGGATGAGTCCCACCAATCCATACCATTGGCTTGCATGACTTTGGAGTGGACCATGGCCCATTTCCGCTTCTTGCTCGGAGCCTCTGCCTTCGCACGCCTCGACTCTGCAAGCCTCCATGCTCGGTCTTTCCAGACACTGACGAAGTCGGAGTCTTCAGGTAAGAGAAAATCTTCCAAGTCCCGGAGCTGATTCGCTTGCACGCACAAAGAGTTCATGACCTGAAGCACCAACTTGGAAAGATCATCATGATCCATGCCTGCTGCGTCTGCAGCGGACTGTCGGAAGCACAACATGTACAACCTTTTCCGTGACACTGGCATGCCGAAGAGCTGCGGAGACAGCACCACGGGAATCATGATCAATCCCGCCTGCTTTGCGCGGTGTGCGCAATACTGAAGGTTGTTGCGATGCGGTTCTCCTGTCGATTCATTCAAGCCTCTTGGCCCCTCAAGAAGTCCCATCACATTCTCAAGCAGCATTCCAGAGAACTTGTCTTGTGGCTCCTTGCCGAGATGCTCAGACTCCAACTGCTCCGGTTGCTTTAAGGTGGCTCGAACGAACTTCATCAGATGCTCGAACACAGTGCCAGTTCGCAGTGCAGCCATCCGCACAACCGAACGATTGTCCTCAGCTCGCGTGCTCAATCGAGATACATCTTGGCAGGGGAACCCTGCGATGATGTCACCTACTGGCCTCAGCTTCTCCTCCGTTTCCTCTGCCAGATCATAGATCGAAGCACCCACGCCTCCTTGTAACATTGCCGTGTCCTCGAAAAGACTTTGCATAGCCGTCGCAGGATCCTTGACGTTCTTGTACATCATGTGCAGCAAGAAGCACCGCTTTCTAGGATCCTTCTCACAGGACCACACATGCTGAAATTGCATGGTCCTGTCCAAGATCTTCCCCATCGCCAGGGCGAAGGCCTTGACTACAACAGCCGGACCATCACTTCCGGAGCAAGCTGTCGCGAAAGACACCTCGGGATGTGTCGAAAAGGCTTGCAGCAGATCCGCACGCAATCCATCAGGAATGCGATTGACAGCTTCCAAGCAAAAATCAACCAACTGCTCAAAGCCGGTGTCTGCAAAGCTTCCATGGACATTGTACGGTGATGCACCCTCACACGCGGAGGGGTACAAAGGCTGCACCCGATCTATGAGAGACTCATCCTCTGAGGCCTCTTCTGGCTCCTGTGCGCATGGCTCGGTCTGCGCATCCTCGTCGTCCTCAGAAGCCTCCTGCTCATCATTGGCCTCTTCGCAATCTGGGGCTTCATCGTCTGCAGAACCTGCATCTGCATCGCTGCCTGCATCGCCTGGGCTCTCTGGCATTGCCTCCATTGGGGAAGCTTGCACAACTGTTTCCTCTTCCTCACCCTTAGCATCCGAACTGTCCTCAACTGCATTTTGGAGTAGCTCAGGCAGCCGACCCCGGCCGGCTCCTCGGCTCCCTTTGCCACGGCCACGGCCACGAGCCATGAACGTCGACACCGAGAAACTTCCTAGCTAACTTACTACGAAGTAGCGTCCGCGAAACAGACCCACATTCGTAGTTCCATGGTCCATAGTTACATAGTCTCAGAGTGAAAGTCTATATAGTCATATCATATCTTATATATTATATTAATATGACATATGACATATGATATATATAGACAGAAAGACACATAGGACATTGACTAATAAATACTTACAACACCGAATCAGTCATTGAATCATAGACTAGAGTCATAGACGGAGAAAGTCTTCATAGTAGACATATCACAGAAACATAGAATCATAGAATAATAAAAAATAAAAACATGTTTCTTTCAGAATAATGTACACCACGCGTGCTGTGTGTCGCTTCACTGTTGCCTCGTACAAAAGGTCAGGCTGCCATGTCTACGGAAAAACTTTTGGGTCCTTGAGACAGTCCCGACC